AAAGAATTTTGTCCAAAATTGGTTTCAAAGAATCTTATGACATTTTATTTACCTTTCCAGAATGCATCCGAATATAAAGTAGTTTCTACATATATTTGAGAGCAGATTCATGCTACAGAGAATTATCACTGAAAAAGTTTTTTGTTCCAAAGTTTTTTCCTTAAAGTGGAGATTAAAGACTAACCTCCAAATGAATTCCAAACCATCACACTTATTGACTAAATGCAACCTTATTCTAATTTAAACAAGCAAACGTTTAACGTCTTTTCTGATCATATTTGTTTTCAACAAGTATAGAAAGGTTCGAAAACGAATCTAAATAAACAGTCTGTTGACATAAATACAACCCTATCAACAAGAAGAGCAATATTTACCTCCATCTTGTAGGTGACAACGGCATTAATGCCATTGTCCTTGTCCGTGGCATATATCTGCGTGTATACTAGTGTAACTGTGTTGATATTAGTCTGGAATAAAACATTATACATGTCATTAACTACACAATATTTAGCTACATTAACGAGTCACAGTATGATCATACTGGCTGAGAAAAATTATCTTTCTGCTTTTTGTGTTTCTGGAGAGTAAAAGTGATGAGAAGCTTCACTAGTGACATCTAAATAAGGTACTAATTTTAAAAATATATACACATTGGGTAAAGGTAGACAGTAAATTAAAAACTATAGAAGAAAGCTCGAATGAGAAAACAAACTCAGTCCCAGCATATCAGAAGCAAATACACGACGGCAAGAAGAAAAATTGAGATGCCCATTTTTTTATACCCATGAGATTAAATACAGCGACCTGTGCTACCGACTTACAAATTATTTGAGAGAGAGAGAGAGAGAGACAGAGAGAGAGAGAGAGAGAGAGAGAGAGAGAGAGAGGGGGAGAGAGAGAGAGAGACTACCAAGCCTTAAGCAATACGTATAACAATGAACAAGGGATCAAGAGATATCTGCATTAGAGTCTGACTGTATAAACTGATGTGTCGGAAAATTGCAGTGCTTTGGAATTTGACCTTCAACAAACACGAAAAAATTAATCGACTAGAAAGAAACAAAGGAAGAATCTATAAGAATGATATCTGATGACTTTACTGGTGTAATAAATTTAAATTGGCAAACCCTACAACTTTGTCGCAATTGCCAGACCAATAGTGAAAGAGCAGCAATAATTTCAAAAATAGATGAAGGCAAAATCGAATAAAAAGTAGTCTCAATGTGTGATCTTATGGACGACCTATAATGAATATAATAAGTGATATACCAAAAGTACCTAAAGATCAAATTTTATTGACTGTTAAAGAATAAATTCACCGCTAGAATAGAAGATTTAACATCAAGAGGCCCAAAAATATCAGTGTGTGCAAGTAGTATTGGTGATTTAGGCAGAAAAGTTAGGAGATTAATTAAATATTTAAATGAAATGGAGCTAAGGTTTACAACTGAGACAGGTGCTCTCAAAGTCTATCAGGAAAAACATCTTTATATCAATATAATGAGTGCAAAAAAACATTTTCATCCGAAATATGAGACAAATGGGCATTTTTATCTGAATTAAAAAGAGCTATTAGTTTAAAGGTGTATTCTGGTGGGTACTACAATTGTTGAAATTAGAAAATGTTTGAGAGAAAACCGAATTTGATATCAGTCCCATTTGTATGTTTTATAAAGAACTAATATTTGTAAGTTTATTAATTTATGAATCTAACTATATATGAGAGGACGTCCTTTATTTAAAATAATACATGGAGTATATACTTTTAGTAGATTAAGATGTGCTGGTGGTCAATACACTTTATTTAGTGTCTTATCGGGTTTCACAATACCACATCCAATAACTACTGTTTATGAAATGGATCATGTTCACGGAGTATGAGTTGCAGGCAATAGATACGATAGATTAGTATGTCTTTGAAATAAATGAAAATCATGATAAATTAGTAGAAAGTAATAATTATGTTCCTTACTAAGTATATATAAATTCATTTCTGAAAATGTATAATAAATGACTTTCTCGGATATCATTAAGACGAGCAATATTAAACGTTTCAATCTGAGGAATCGATAATAATGATGAATCTTCTGATTGACATTTAATATAAAAAAGAGCGAGAGATGTAACTCTTATTATAGTGAATTCAAAGGATGTAACTAGCAAAGTCACGAAAGTGTAGGGCATTATTCGAGACATAACAAAGACGATGTCTCAAAATATCGACTCGCTTGCTAAAATATACGGCCCGTGTTAGCAAAGAATCTTCCGTTTGGACTAAAATGCGAATAATATGACAATGTTTGAGACCCTAGAAAAATATCAGGTCGGAAATCATAAATTGGTGAATAAATGACTATGTTGTATGCATTTGTTATATATCCGTGTTGTTTTGCTGGTTTTTTAAAATCGGTTAGAACGGGAGGTGTTGGGGTGTAAGCTACCGGTGAAATCGATCAGTATATCAAACCTACAACGAAAAATGACTTTTTTCAATACATAATACACGATACAATGGTAATAGATGATGCAGATAAATAAATATGATAGCTAGAAGTACCTGTTAATGTATACCATGGAGATAATACTTTGTTCATGATGGATGATGGTGCGCTTGTAAAATATACAATAAAATGGAAACAGCCTATGACAGTATTGAATGGTGAACATTAAGGGAAAACATCGTGGGTGATGATGTCTATTAAATTGGGCATTGAACCTCTTCAATGTTTAAATGACTTCCGATAAAGTCCACCATGGTTTCATTATAAGTTGCTTCGCGCACATTTATGTATTTCATTTACATGTTTGTACATATTTGGGGTTATTATCAGTACATTAAATGTTTAAAAGCACATAATTTTGTATGCACATAGTCAAAGTTATCCCAGCCCGATAAAAATGCGTTTTAGACAAAATGATGGCAAAAAAAAGTTTAACTTTAGTTTTTACTGGTTTTAACGGCACTTTAAGTCATTTTTGGAAATATGATGCTGAGTAAACATTTTAACTAATTTCCGAAGGACGCACCGATGCACCCGACCAGAGCTGGTCTGGACGAATATCGAACCCACAGCTAATCTGAAAAGTACGAACCTCGACATTTTATGGCAATAAATGATATATCATACTAGGAAATTCCATGTCAAATTGGATTAACAAAAATTACAAAATCAGTAGTACATATACGTGTGACAACAAAAGTAGTAATGATAATATAATTAAGAATCTAATTGTTTAATTTAAGTTTTATTGATTATGGCAACAATATAAAATAATTAATTTATTTTATGATATTAAAAGTCATATGAAATACTTCATCTAAAACTTAGCAAGAGATTGTTTTAATATAAATCCGTTTATTTTTCATAAGGTTTCTCCAAAACATATGGTTTTCACATGTAGTTGCACATTTTCTGTTGTAATAAAATGTTTTGCTATGACATGTTGTTGTTTACCTCATTTTTAACACAAGACACACATGGCGGTTAATATAACTGGTGGAGGAAGAACACAAAAAAAACTCCTGGAAGAACCAGTAGAACATACGTTCGGCAAGCTTTGATATGACATGACTCTTTCGCAATGGTGATGAAAATAGTCCAGTAGATCAGCTTACATAAATCCTACAAAATTCTATAGAAACCTAAACACAAAAATTTCCATGTCAGATCTTTACACACTTAATCGACACTTAGTTCTACAACAAATGAAGCAAAACACTTGTGTACTGCGTTTCGCTGTTTTGTTAGTTTGTTTCAACAATATGAACTACAATTACAAAATCCAAAACAAATGTACCTCATCTATATCCAGAGTGTATGATGGGCTGGCAAATTGTGGTGATTCATCGCATGTGTCAAGGATGTAAAGTCGAACATATTTGAATATCTGCGCAAAAAAAAAAAAAATAATAATAATAATAATAATAATAATAATAATAATAATAATAATAATAATAATAATAATAATAACATCGGTAACCCTGTTTAACTCGTGGTATTCATGCGACCTCAAACGAAATGTATTGTACAAAAGCCGGATTCTCGACATTTCACGTTATGTTAAGGCAGTCAAAATTGCACTTGAAAATATCGAGCTCAGCATTCTTTATAATGACGGGACATAAAATGCTTACAACGTTAAAATGAATACGAAACACAGAAATTAACAAAGAGATAAAGTATTTACATGAAATCACAATGAAACTTAGAAAGGAAGAGATGCAAAACGTTTTAAAGGCAATCACACCCTTGTCCATGATATATTTCAGTTGAGGACAACAGGTTTTGTGCGAGATGTCAATATGAAAGCATACAAATCATTATATATATATATATATATATATATATATATATATATATATATATATATATATATATATATATATATATATATATATATATATATATATATATATATATGACTTGATTTTGGCGTTACAGCAGAAAATACCGTGTTTCCCATGGTGTCGATGACGTAAAATCTCAGATCTATTCCACCCTCATTCTGAAAAAATAATATATATATATATATATATATATATATATATATGCAAAAATAAATTATACAAAATAATGTAACATTAATGTTTGAATATGCTTAATAAGCGTTAAAAGAATTCACATGAAAGACATTGCAAGAGTGACCAGAACGCGAAGGATTTACGCAATTTCGCAATTTACCTAATATTCTGTTCTTCTTCATTGCCCTTCCACCACTTTGTTTATGTAGTTGCAAATGATACATATGTCAGCTATGCATTCCAACAGTAGGATTCGTACCAGTTTTACATTATAAAGCAGTTTTACCTTTATAACCGGTTCTAAATTATATCAGAAGTAGATATTAGTCTCCAAACAAATTACAGAAAGACAAAATCCTCAAATTTGGCAAGCTAATATATACGTCTAGAAATAAAATATTTGGTTGGTAAATTTGAAGTCAGACTTAAATTCTATCATAGCAGACTGCATTATTCAAGATCTCCTGTAAAGGCGACAGCTACGTTGGTTTAGCGGTAAGAGTTTCCTCCAAGAATGCGGGTGGTCTTGGGTTCGAACCCCAGCCGAGTAATAATAAAGACTTATAAATTGTACTAGCAGTTGATCAGCATTAAGAGATTACTGCTAGGACTGGTCGGCCTTGTGTCAGAATAATATAACTGGGTGAGCATCATGCTTCGTTAAGAATCCAAATAAAAATTCACTCTCTCCGGTAAAGTCTTACGTAAGTCAAATCTATACCTATGTCTCTATCGATGCACATTTTGAAATAAATATAAATGCACATATCATATATATATATATATATATATATATATATATATATATATATATATATATATATATATATATATATATAAAGAGTCAGGAAGATATCGTAAGTATTTTACTTCTAGATTATTATTTTATGACTGACGGGTGGTGGCAGCCTAAGAACAATCTAAATCCTAATTGTTTATTTCAAATCATAAAATATTAATAACTTTTTATAAAGTAAATTGGTATAGATCATATTAAGTATATTAGTAAGTACCAAGTCATCAAATCAACTAAGTGCATTAAAATAAATGTCCATGTATATTTTCCGTGTGATATGTTGGCATATTGTTAAGGTGGTCACTTCATTTACGTATTTGACACGTCTGAGTCTAGTACTACTTTATCCATTATCCATTAGACAGCCTCATGTTCATCATATTCTGTATTAATACTATATGACATCAGGTATTAGCAATAATAAACATTCATGAGAAAAAGTGTACTGTTCACTCCTAAACTATTAATTTTAACGATAAACAAACACTTCGTGCATTTTAACAGTATTTAAATACATTTCTCTTAGTAATTCTTGATATAAAAAAACAAAATTTGTTAGTGATATGTTACTAAAACACATTACTCAAAATCAAATGTTTGTGGTCCAAAAACTGATGACTGATGATTAAACTTTATATATGATAAACTCTTACTGATTCTCTATCCAGTTCTTTCCTCAAAGTTATATTTGCTGATGTCGGGCTCATTTTCTTTCCCTGAGAAATTCTGACGTACATCTCTGTAGTGATATCACTTGTCCCAATAGTCATTTCGTTGGAAGGATTGTTATTATCGGTTGCTCTCAAAGTAAACAGCAAAGTACCTGGTGACGTAACAATCAATTTTTTGTCAGCTAATTTTAAACTAGGCAAAGTCAAAATTTATTTGATGAGACGCCACATATTGAATGCAAAGAATATTTTTGTAACAACATCAACAACCCCAATTGCATACCCATTTCTCGCCTCGCTAGTAGATAATATTGGTACAGCCCTAATTCCATACCTATTCCTGTTTTCGTTGGAAGACAATATTCGTAATTAATGTTTAAAATGCAAGTTATGCGTTTGGTCCCTGTCTATTTTGATAAACTGCCGTTGAAACCTAACTTTATGATCCTATACAATGAAAGTGCATGTCTTATTATGAGATTCTGAGCTAAAACGTTTTATTTAAGCTTACATGATGGGTATCAATCGTTAATCTTGTTATCTCGAGATTTATGTACTATGAATTGTATACCATTACGAGACGTAAATTGTTGGTTTATGAAGAAATTAAAATCGTATTACTCTCATAAGAACATTTGTTTTATACATATTGCTTAACATTTCAGCATTTTCGATATGAATACTTGATATTAAAGCATTACCAAAACTACATACTGATTGACTGACATGCGCATGAATATCGCAATTCATAAAAGAAGCGAGTGAAACAAAAGTCACTCTTTTCCAGTAGGCCCAACTTTAGCAATACGAGTTATTAGACGCAGTGGGACGTCACACCCTTATATACGATTTACAAATGTGCAGTTCTCAAATTTGCCATAAGCAAGATTTTAACAGCTGAATGATTAAAAGTTTCTCTCTGACTCTGGCTCTTTCTTTCTATTTCTCAATCTCACTCCTCTCATTAACTGAAAACAAATATTTATAAACAGAGTGTACGTATGACAAAATAAAACTCTGTGTGATATTTATCCGTCTTATTACAACACAACCACCGACTGCATCACTTAACGAAATATTTAATTTCGATTTGTAATTGATATCACCGTCCACCCACGTACAATCTTTGCGTCCACCAGGAAATACTGAAAAACAATGTTCGATACTTTCTTGAGAAGCTTTAACAAGTAAGGCAAGTCATTATTTACATAAAGAGTCCACAGCCTTGTGAATGTTCAAATCATGCCATTTTTGTCTTCAATGCGAATAAATGCAATAAAAATTGAAATTGAGAAGCGAAATCTCAGACGTGCTCATTAGTACATAAATGTGTGTGTGTGTGTGTGTGTTTGTGTCTGCGTGTGATCAAATGAATGATACTTATTAATGTCATCAGATATGGTGAAAAATTAATGATTGCCTAAACAATTCAAGAAAAAGTACTCGGAGTCTGTAAATTTTTAAAAAATATTTCTATAAACGTATCCAGAAGAATTCGTTGATATAAAACAGGTTTACCTATTGGTGTACTTTTATTCTCGCTGTACTGGACAAATGTGGGTTCACTGTCAAAATGCGGAATCGCTACACAGCCATTTAGAAACAAACCTTTAAAACACGAAATTAAGCATGAGAAAATGTAAATAAATCATCATTTCTAACGACCTGGACCCACCCACCGAAAAAGTAACATAACAATGGAAAACTTAACATATCTGAATGTGTAATAAGAGCAATAGTAACTGCAATATTAGTAGTAGTAGTAGTAGTTCTTCTTTCTTCTTCTTCTTCTTCTTCTTCTTCTTCTTCTTCTTCTTCTTCTTCTTCTTCTTCTTCTTCTTCTTCTTCTTCTTCTTCTTCTTCTTCTTCTTCTTCTTCTTGTGCCAGTAATAGTAATGTTATGTGGAGAAGGAAGACATCAGAAATTATCCAGACCTCCTTGATCATAAGATTTGACCTATATGTGTGTATGAAATTTGCTAGTAAACATTATTTGATCACGGTGCGACCAGAATGCTTCTGGTTAGAAACTAGGCATGGATTATAGTTACTAAGCGGAGAAAGTAGAATGATTATGCAAAACAGAGACTAAATATTGGGCAAAAGGTCATTATTATTCTATGTGTGTTTGGCTCATTCTTTGTAATTTATTAGTACAAGGTAATATTATTATATCTATTCAATTAAAAGATTCTGCAATATGTGAAGGGACAAATTTAAGTTACAATATGATCCTAAAGGTTATCTTTGAAACCGACATTTATCATAATGAAAGCAATACATTAAAATTATAATTTAATGGCATGTCCGTCTTTTTTAAGATAAAATATAAAATAATTTAATACCATAATATGAATAGCATAGTTGTAGATAAAAGAAGAATGACAGATTCGTTAGTATATGAAGACTTCTGAACTAAATAGACAATGATTGTTACAAACCTATAATTCCGACGACTATCGTATATGCCACCGTTATACTTTTGCGAGCGTTTGTGTCCATTTGTTACCTCTGCACTATATAAAAAAACATGTCTTAGAATATAAACAATTGCACAAAATGCATTATTTACCGGTGTTTCATACAGAATATATCAAAACAGAAAGAACAATTAGGAGTCCAGATTAACTACAATATCGGAATTCTGAGTTTAGTAGGAACGTATTTGGTTTAAACTTAGTAAATCGGACAGTACAATAGAAGCCTTTTCATGTTGATTCAAATATTCCCTAATCAATGAAACATAATAACACTATAATGCTGAGCAAAAAGGTCGTAAATACAGAGTTGACCAGGAAAGTATTTGAAAAACAAATAATCAGGTAAGTAAAACTAAAAAACCTTTAATAATATTTTGAACAGAATAATTAATTCTTTCATGGTGTAAAGACGTTTACTTATTAAAATACCGATGGTATTCTGTTTTGTATTAAAACCGAAGGAAACATTTAAATTGCTACCCTTGTGATGGAGAGGAGGGTCAAAAGTTCATCTTACATATTGGTATGGGTGAATACATCATATTAGTTACTTTATTTGTTGTATGTGCTTTGTATTACGTAACAGGATCCAAACTGCACTCCAGTTCTTGTAAAGAACATAATCAAACAGTACATATACTGAATTCCAAAATCTCGCTGAGAATAATCCACGATGCTAATATGTTACATTAGACGGTAATACGTACAATACATGTAATGTAAGTCACTTCCCCAAAATTGTATTGGATGCTATATAAAATAGCAGAGTATACCAAAGTCTGGACAGAATTTCCTAATGTTATAGTTTGTTGCTTGTTTTCCGATTTCAACACATTGCTTATCAATATATACATATTCAAGTTATGTCATCAAATAAAGAGAGAGGGGGATTGGGTATAAGTTTTAACACATCCAGTAACTATTAGTTACCTACGAGGTTATTAATTACCGTTTACATTTCGTTGAAATAAATAAAATAAAAACTCAGTATAGTATTCGTCAGGTAATATTTCTGCAGCAGAGAGGCTGAACCCTACAAGGTTGTAGAGACCTTTTTTGAAAACTAAAGGTTCCTTAAAAGGCTGAAAAACGAAGTTTTAGGCGTAACACTAAAAATTTCTCTAATTGGACAGATTATTTTTCGACCTTATTAATTTTCACGTGCTTGTCACTACGCTTATGTCGTTCAGACTCTCTGCTGAACAGTCCAAATGTGATTAAATATCTGAGAGTATACAGCACAATGGAAATTAGAAATAAGTTATCTGACGCTGGAGGTGAAGTTTATTTAAGAATAAAATCATTCTCTTCTGACAGGAAGAAATAGATTCACGAGTAGTTAGGAAATTGGTCAAATATTGTAAGATACCTATTCTACCTCCTTTTTGCTTCCTTTAGATACTGTCTAAAACTGAGGCAGTAACATTCCTATATTTTACGTTTTATTCAGGGTTTTCGTCAAGCTGATATAAGACTGCTTCTATGTGAAGAAAATTTCGATTTCGAGATGTCATTTTATTTGAAAAGAAAATGACACTTGGAATATGCGACAAGTGTCCACACACGTAACAAAAATAAAATCCAGTATTGAGAAACTAAAATAGGA